TTCCAAGTTGCTGACTTATTTCCCCAGTAACATTTCTCACATAACAATATGTGGAAGTTACAAACACTGAAACGCACAAATAGCTAATTTCTAAGAAAGAATGTGTACAGTACTGTAACTTAATGAATGTGGTGCCTGCAATAACTTTGTTGTTGTTTAGTTGCTAAGTCATGTTGGACAGACTCTTTTGTGACCCCATGGACTGTAGTCCTCCACGTTCCTCCATCCATGGGATTGCCCAGTCAAGATACTGAAATAGGTTGCCATTTCTATCTCTAGGGGAATCTTCTCAAACCAGGGATAGAACCTACATCTCCTGTGTTGGCAAGTGGACTCTTTACTACTGAGCTACCAGGGAAGCCCCTGCAATAACTTAGCCGGTTTTTAATACACATGACGATGCTACCTTTTTCTGCCAATTTACAGGTTAAAAGTTGTTACTGGAGCTTTTAGTTTTGCAAATATTACCTGGTATTTAATACACAAGATAGGTACCATACACACTTAAAATATTTATATACATATGTTTATATATTTACTGAAAATAGTCAAGCCATGACAAAAACCTAGCTTCTAAGATGAGAGGCAAAAGAAATACAAATATAGAATAAGTTACAAAAATCCATGATCATAATAACACAATGACAGAATATGCTCATATTGACATAAACATGATTTATAATGTTTGAATATTTTATAAATATATTCAGAAGGATTATATAGGTATTCGAATTTTCTTAGTATTGCTTGTAAGACAATTTAGAGTAGTTTGGCATTTTTACAAAAAAGTTTAAATCTCTTGTTTTTCTGATATTATTTCAGCATGGAAAATAGTGCTAGAATAACTTTAATTTATACAAGTTTTCAGTTAAGTCTCTCACTGGAAAGCTAACAAATTTTAGCTTCAATATTTCCTGTACAGATTTTGCCAGATAAATTAAAACTATTTCCAAAATGTTGAATTTTATGTGATATATATAATTGTTCCTACTAGCTTGTCATTTCTTCTTGGTCCTCCCAGTTAAGAAAGCACGAAAATATATGTCTGTATACTGACCTGTTTGAATACAAATATCTATAAATATGTTTTACTTAATCATCTGTATCTACTTTAAGTGAAACATGACTTCATACTGATGTCTCCAACTCCAGTTCATGGATCATTCACATTGCTCCCCTTGCTTTTCCATAACATCCCAGCCAAGTAGGGAGAAACTTGGTTCCCAGGTGGCACTAGTGGTAAAGAATCCAACTGCAGGAGACATAAAACATGAGGGTTCGATCCCTGGGTGCAGCATTTATTATATTTCATTTTGCCTTTAGTACAGATCCCACCCAGTTTCAAAGATCAGCACCATTTCCCGCTTTCTTCTCCAGTACAGTTGCTTCGTATATTTGTAATAGAACAACTTTTTGTCATGTTTTGTCTTTCATCTTGAGTAATTTTTTAAAATTATATAGAATAAATATATATAAATTATATATATTAAATATCACTCTGTGGTTCTGCAAATTTCTACGAGTTTTAGCAAATGCCTAATGTCATGTGTGTACCATCACAGCATTACAGAGTGATTCTACACTCTAAAAAACCCTCTGTGTTTCACTAATTTAATACGCCACTCGCTTAAATTCTTAGGTACCACCAGTAAGTTTACTCTCTATGAAGTTTTGCCTTTTTCTGAGTTTTGTCTGTATGAAATCATAATTGTTTCAAAGACCTGTTAGACTTCCTTCCTTCATTTAGCAATGAACATTTAGGATTCATCCATGTCTTTATGTATTTTGATTAGGGGCTTCCCTGATGACTCAGATGGTAAAGAATCTGCCTGCAATGTGAGAGACCTGGTTTCGATCTTTAGGGTCAGCAAGAGCCCCTGGAGAAGGAAATGGCAACCCACTCCAGTATACTTGCCTGCAGAATTCCATGGACTGAGGCACTTGGCAGGTTACAGTCCATGGGTCTTGATAACCCATTCTTTTTAAATTTCTGAATAATATTTCATTGTATGAATGTACCACACTTTGTTTATATGTTTGCTTAGTGGAAGACATCTTGGTTGATTAAACTTTTCTATCTCTTCATTTTATGCTCATTATTTACAAAAGAGAGGAACTTAGGAGGCTGGATGAAGTCGAATTCTTCTAGACCAGCAGCTTGGGCTACCTTCCTCTGAAGAATCCGTTTATATCATAAAAAAATTGATATCCAATCCTGTGTCCTCTTACGTGTCAAATTTAAGTCAATTTACAAATGGCCAGTAAGACCACCCACTTAATTTTATGAAATGCAAAGTATTTTCACAATAAAATGTGACTAGATAGTTATTTACATTCTAGGCACTGGATAAATTAATGCAGAGATTTACCAATAAAATGTTTTCAAAAAATAAAATCTATTTTGAAACCTAAACATATTGTGCCATTTCTTATGTCATAAAGTCCACACAAATATCCATGTGTGTGCACATAGGCACACAGAAATAATTAATGGTTTTGTCTAGTGAGAAGAAACAGAAAAGTTTGAAGAACAAAGATTAAGAGCAGACTACTTGATTTAATGTCTTCATTTAATTTCTAGTGAAATTTTGGCAGTTCTAGAGTTCATTATCTGTGAGAATAAAAAGTTTCAGTTGATAGATAGCTCTCATCAAGAGATCATTTATAATACCGAGATAATTCTCAGCAGCTGCTGTAAAGATGTTATGCAGAGGCTGGGCTGATGCTTTCTGTCAAACATGCTTTGTCTTGCTTAGCCTGTATTTTGCAATCATTCATTGGTCTTTGACCCCTGGAGAAGGAAATGGCAACCCAGTCCAGTATTCTTGTCTGGGAAATCCCATGGACAGAGAAGCCTGGACGGCTACACTTTATGATGCCTCAAGAGTAGGAAACTATTTATTGACTAAACTACCACCGCTGGTCTTTGAACAACTTATTTTGCCCCCAAATCCCCCTTCATCTTTCCTCTAATCCCTTTATAACATAAATATTATTATTTTATCTCCTATAGCTGACCTTTATTTCACAGATTCAGAAGTACAGTCCATAGGTCTTTGGTTGTATTAGTTTGCTAGGACGGCCACAAAATGGGTGGCCAGAAGTTTACTTCCTTCAAATTATGGAGGCCTCTAGCAGTTTCTCGTATTTCTGGTTTCTTCAGGGCCCCTTCCTTGGCTTGCAGGTGGTTGTCTTCTCGCTGCGTCATCATTCTGGTCTTCTTTCTGTGCTTGGGTCCTAATAGTCTCTTCATTTAGGGACACGACTCACATGGGATCAGAGTCCACCCTAAGCACCTCATTTTAACTCAATTATGTCTATAAAGACCCTATCTCCAAATGCAGTCACATGCTAAGATACTGGGGTTAGAATTTCAAAATAGGAATGTGTGGGGAATTCAGCCCAAGTCACTGGTAGATCTAATTGTCCTGAAGCTAATTTTGTTCTGTCACCTCTACCTTCAGAAACCCCTTTTTGTCCAGGGATGTGTTTAGATGGCAATTGGGAGCATCTGTGTAAGTGGATGATTACCACTCAGCCAGCCTAATTCCAGTTCCCACAATGGCTGCAAACATAAATGTTCTTATACATAATCTGGAGTGTAGATTGTGGAGTGGAGGAGAACATAATTCACATAAACCAAGCACCTGAGAAGCCTATTAGTAATGCAAGACTGTATCTTTTACATGGACTTCCCAGGTGATGCTAGTAGTAAAGAACCTACCTGCTAAGGCAGGAGACATAAGAGATGTGGGTTTGATCCCTAGGTCAGGAAGATGCCCTGGAGGAGGGCATGGCAACCCATTCCAGTATTGTTGCTTGGAGAATCACATAAACACAAGAGTCTGGCAGGACCACCAAAGAAATCCCATGGTTGCCCTTCAAAATGATATTTCTGAGAGAGGTTACCTGGTTTCCATAAAATAACTTTTTATGATCATTAAAGCCACATCTATTTTGTTTGTTTGTTTTGGCTGTGCAGGGTCATCACTGCATCACACAGGCTTCTCTAGTTGTGGTGCAAGGGCTTTGTTGCCCTGCAGCTGGTGGTATATTTGTTCCCTGACCAGGGATTGGATCTGTGTCCCCTGTATTAGAAGGCAGATTCTATACCAGGGACCACCATGGAAGTCCAAAATTCACATCCTTTCTATCATAACATTTTCTAGTGCAAAGTTCAGAATGCCTAGGGAAGCTGCTTCTAAGAATTTAAACCACATTAAGATTAAGGTTAAAAAAAAAAGCCTATCATTGTGTGAAAAATGAATTTATATTTCCACAAATGTCACCTACAGACATACTTGACGTTTTAATCCTAAATACTAAGGTCCTCTAGCAATGCAGGAGTGTTAGTCCAATGGTGGGGGCTCTTACTATACCCACCTCCGTCTTTAGGCCCTTTGCTCATTGTGTGTGTGCTTAAATCATGCTGAGTATAGATTAGGTAATCTCAGTTGAATAGCTGAGAAATATCTTGATCAATATCCATATAGCTTGGATCAATATCCAAATAACTTGATCAATATCCATCTTCCCTCAGCTATTTACTATTTTTTTGCAAGAAAAACTCAGAGCACACCTATCCATTATATGAACCAGAAATGTGGAGTTTACCTGAAGGAAGTGGAGCTGCCTAGGAGAATGTGTGGAGGGGGCAACATAAAGGTTTTCATTCACATTTACTTAACCAAGCCCACTGGAGAGAAAAATATTCAAAAATGAAGAAAAAACTTAACAGACCTTTACTCAGTCAATGACACTTATTTCATTGACAGATAAATATGCTAGAATCAGATCAAATTGGATCCACAACTCTTTTGGATAAAATGTTTGCTGCTAGTTTCTCCCAGAACAAAAATCTGATTAAACCCAGGATCATTTCATATTCCCTTAAAGGTATCATGGGATTTTTTTTTTACACTCTCCATTCAAAAATTTGACTATACTCTCCCTGTAGACCTATGCCTGCAATTTTTGTGTAATTAAGCGCATTTAGTCCTTCACCTTAAATGTATGCTTCTTTGAGAAATGAGGTGAAAAACTCCCTGGTGGATCCGCTTAGTCTTAACACTGGAGGCACCAACAGGTAAATATTGGCCATGATAACATGCACCAGAGGAGAGGCACACTTTGCAAATTGATGAGTCATAGATACCCCCACCATGGACACATACAGGACCAGAAGAGCCAGCATGTGGCACAGACATTTATTGAGGGCCTGAAGTAGCTCAGTCCATGAGGTTGTGCCCAAGATACTTTTCAGGATGAGTGTGTAGGAGAGCATGATGAGCAGAGGGTCCATCACAATAATGAGCAAGACCACAGCAAAAGCATACCAGTTGTTGACTCGGATGTCAGCACAGACCAGGCGAATTATATCCTGGTGGAGGCAGTAGGAGTGAGAGAGAAGGTGGGAGTGGCAGAAGGGCAGGTGCTTGAGTAGGAAAAGGGAGGGAAGAACAGTCAGAACACAGCGGCAAAGGATGGATAGTCCCATCCTGCCAACGGCATTGTTGGTGAGGATGGTGGCATAACGAAGGGGGCAGCAGATGGCCACATAGTGGTCAAAGGACATGGCCAATAGGACTGAAAATTCCATAATGGAGAATGCATGGAGGAAGAGGAATTGGGCAAAACAGCCCTCGAAGCAGATCTTCTGAATGTTAAACCAGAGCATGCCTGTGGGCAGGGTCCTGAGGGTGAGACCCAGGTCAGTGAGGGCCAGCGTGGAGAGGAACAGGTACATGGGCTGGATGAGGGATGGCTCTGTATGGATGACAGTGAGAATGCTGGTGTGTCCCATGATGGAGATAGTGTAAAGACAGCAGAAGGGGATGGAGATCCAGATGTGGTAGGCCTCCTCAAATCCAGGGATGCCCGTGACAATGAAGTAGAAGGGGTCTTGGGTGGTGTTCATCACCTCGGACATGATAGAGGAATGTAGTTTCATGTTGAAGCTCTTCACTCAGAGAGAACCAGAAACATTAAAAATAGTCTTTGTCTTTACCTCATTTGATCTAAACTCTATCGGAATAAAGATACAGAGCTGTTGAGTGTTACTGAGGAATTTTAGGAAGACAGTGGTTGCTCTTCCTGGCCTGTCTCTGCAGGGACTGTTTCCACACAACTCATATTCTCCTGATAAGTCTATACACATTAACTCATGAACAAATCTTTAAGTTTTTTTTCCTGCCTGAAGTTTTCAATTCCCATTTTCTTCTTAGTGCCCTAGAATCTTCCTTTTATCCAAACCACATCACTAATATTATTCTTAAAAAGACTTAAATGAACTCTTACCAGGGTAAGACCTAGCCCTCAGCTTTTTCACCCAGCATCTCCTTTTGAAATTTTCTTTGAGTGTTATAAGACATCTCACTTGTTTCACTTATTCTAAAGTCATCACCAACTCTTCCTCTATTTCTTCTTCATTTCATCACGCAGTAAGGTCATTTTTTTATCTTGATCAGGTCTTATTTCTAATCTGTCTTCTTATTCTCATTAGTTCATATCATCTGACAACACTGACTCCATGTGTGCATTAGAAGAGAACTGGAAGCCAAGGTTGCTTTGAAGAGAGCGTTGGGCTTCTTCGCGCTGCTGCTTAGTCACTCAGTCACGTCCGACTCTGTGACCTCATGGACTGTAGCCCAGCAGGCTCCTCTGTCCATGGGATTCTCCAGGCAAGAATACTGGAGTGGGTGGCCATTCCCTTCTCTAGTGGATCTTCCCGACCCAAGGATCAAACCCAAGTCTCCCACATTGCAGGCAGATTCTTTATCGTCTGAGCTACCAGCGGAAGCCCCTGGGCTTCTTTAGCCTCTTCCTATTATTTAACTTCCACTGTTCATGGAGTTTGATTGGTTCAATATTCCATTCTTTTAAAGCTATAAGATGAATTTTACCTAGTCTCATTAAGCAAGACTAAGGTCACCCATCTTTTATGACCTGGAAGTGGATCCAGGGTCCATCTCGTCTATGTGTCTGCTTGAGCCACTGGAAGCAAATGCCAGAATATTTACTTTATGGAGCAGAAAGAAAAGACATTTTTTCCTTTGGTGCTAGTTCTTGGAGAGCCTTCTGGACCCACATATTGGAGGAGTATAGGACATAGGAGGCATTACTGTATTGGATCTGGGTCCTGTGAAGGGTTATTTGACATTTTGCCTTTTTGAATACATAGCTACACAATTCTACACCCACTCTTCTCCAGTGTTTCCTTTTAAGGTCTCATACCTGTGTTCATGCTTTTACACCTGACATGTTTTGACATCCTTTGACATTCCTCCTGCTGCGTTTACTTTAAAAATATTTGCCCATTCTTTGAAAATCGGGAGAGCTATAACACGCACCTAGAAATCTCTTCTGATTGCCCTAGAATATTGCAGAGTCCCTTCCTTTGTTCTTCCCTAAAATCTCCTTGTATCTATTATTATTGCTTTCACTGAGATATTTTAAATGATTCCTTAGGAGTCTCCTAGACCTGACTATGAATTATTAATTTGATTCTTCTGTACATTCCCAGGAGTAAATTTGTGTCTAATGCTAAATGAATGACTTGATTTATAGTTACTTTTGTTAACATGCACCTACTGTAGACCTGCATGGTAGGGATTGTGACCTTGTCATAAATAAAGTGAAGTATCTTTTTTTTTCTCATTTCATAAAATTAAAAAAAAAAAAACATTGAAAAACGAACAATAGAAAATTCACTTAAACCCATGCCTGTTGATTAGGGCGTGGTTGGTTCCTGACATTTTTCCATGACTATCAGTGTGACTATGGGAAAATCTAGGGATATATTAGGTGATGCGCTTAATCCCTTGATCTGACTTATGTATGAGTGGAATTGTTGAGAAGCTATTGCATTTTCCCATGGGTTTAGTTTCAGATCAGTATTAAGTATATGAGAGGTTATTTCTAATCCCAAGCCCTTACACCCTCCCTGATTTGGTTCAAGTATGCATTTCTTGCTGCTAATACTATCCGTTCTAGGTATATGTGCCAGTGTTTTAGCAGAACTGAGCTATTTAAGGTATTCAATAGCTTATTGTTTGGTAAACTTAGGTTAATACCCACTCCCAGTGATTTTACTTTCAGGACATAATGTTTGAGTTTCTTTTTATATTATATTTTATTTTTAAGCTTTTTATTTTGTGTTGGGCTATAGCCAATTAACAAACCATTTGTGATAGCTTCAGGTGGACAGCAAAGGGACTCAGCCATACATATACGTGTATCCATTCTCCCCCAAACTGTCCTCCCGTCCAGTCTGCCACATAACATTGACCAGAGTTCCCTGTACTATACAAAAGGCCCTTGTTGGTTATCCATTTTAAATATAGCAGTGTACACATGCCCATCCCAATTCCCTAATTATCCCTTTCCCCCTGGCAAGCATAGGTTTGTTCCGTAAGTCTGTCTCTTTCTATTTTGTGAGTTCATGTGCATCACTTCTTTGGAGATTCCACATACAAGGAATGTCATATGATATTTCTCCTTCTCTATCTGAAATACTTCACTCAGTATGACACACTCTAGGTCTATCTGCAAAGGGCATAGGTTGTTATTTTTTATGGCTGAGTAATATTCCACGGTATATATGTGCCATATTTTCTTTAAAATGTTTAGGATGTAAATAACCACATGTTGTTCAGTCACCTAGCCATGTCCGACTCTGTGACCCCATGGACTGTAGCACACCAGGCGTCTTTGTCCCTCACCATCTCCCGAAGTTTGCCTAAGTTCATGTCCATCGCATTGGTGATGCCATCCAGACATCTCACCCTCTGATATCTGTTTCTTCTGTCCTCTGTCTTTCCCAGCATCAGGGACTTTTCTAGTGAGTCAGCTGTTTGCATCAGGTGACCAAAATACTGGAGCTTCAGTATTTTGGTCACCATCTATTAAGTGTTATATGGCAGCCAATAGGTTAAATGCCTTTGTCTGTTTTCTATTGCTTAGTCATCCTCATCAGTCTGTGACTGAAGTATAACTATAACCTATTTTACAGGTGAAGAAATGAGGCTGCCTATATGTTGGAAACTTTCTCAAGGTAAGTGGACTGAAGCTCAGGTACAGTGAGCTCAAAACCTTACCAGTTACTGCTCATTACCTATGTTGTCACCCTAGTAGGTGTCCAATAAATATCTGTGAAGAAGGCAGCTGTATATGTTAATATTTTCTTAATCAAGCCAAATAGTTTTTATAATTTGACCTGGAATTATGCGATGTGTGTGGTCAACCACAGTTAACCATTGCTTCTTATCATGCTTGGGGTCAATTTCAAGGGTAATCCCGTAGAGAATTTCACAAGATCTAATAAATCCAACTGCCTAACTTACATGGATTTTAAGTACTTTTTATAGGATACAGCATTTCTTGTAGGTATTGATCATAGTTGTAAAGTGGAAAGGCCATAAACTAACCTAGAAGACCCAGTTTTTACAAGTCCTGCCACTAACAAGCTGTATGAAATTGAGATGCCTCTTTTCTTTACTAGACTCTAATGATCTCTTTTATAAAATGAGCAGCTAGATACAATATCCTCGAATGTCATTTCCAGTTCTGATCATTCCTATTCCTACATACCCATGTAAGCAACAAACTATTATGTCAGAGAGGAAAGAACACTGCAGATGCTCCATATTCCCAGCAGTCCATGAGCTCCTGAGCTGATAAATACTCAAGGGACTTCCTGGATGCAGCCTTATATTGCTCAGGCCAGGTAGTAGGCAGAGGAGACAGGGGGAATGGGCAGGGCTCCCACAAATGCTCTTGCTTTCTCTGTCCCCTCCATGAACTTTCTCAGGTAGTAAGGTGGAGTGTCAGACACTCCAGACTCAGGCACTAGGGCATGCTGACTCAGCTTATCAATCCTGAGTGTTTTGACAATCTGAAGACAGAAAGGCTGTCCCTATAGGAGCCAGGTATTATTTTTGTTTTTTTTAATTTTTCTGCATATTTTCACTTTCCTGTTTCTATATTTTCTATTTAGTCCTCTTGTTCTCTGAAATCTTCCAATGCTTTCAGATTCAGACATTCATTTCTCTGCAGGGATACTCCAATGGGCTATAGTTTGGAGGTAGATGTTCTGCAATAAATAAGCACTCTTACCCATTTGTCAGAACAAACTGGTATGGGAGGGGAGGAAATATATAAAAAGACAATGGCTGCTTTGGAAGCCACTTGGCAAGATTCTATTTAGTGCTTAAAGAAATCTCCAAGTCAGAGATTGCATATTGCATACAGAGGCAAACTTAGAAATGTTTAAGAAGAGCTTTCATATAGGAAAAACAAGAGATTTTTAGAATGCAGAATGGAGGGGAAAATGCGCCCTGAGATAAAAGGACAGAGGAGTGCTAATACAGGTGGAGGAACAAAGGCAGGTGAAAGCCTGGAGGTGTGTATTTAGAGCAGGTTTAGAACTCAGAGTCGCAAAGTATTTGGTCCTAAGGCTTTTCACAGTAGTTTACTTTTGGATCTTCATTACCCCATTAGCAAAGTCCTTAGCCCCTCCAATTTACAAACAAAGAGAATAAAAATCCTGTGGGATCAGTGACTTCCTGAGTGCATCTCCTGTGTTTGTCCCTTGCACAGCAGGGACTGAAGCAATGAATGAGTGTCCATGTGGATCTCTTGGAACTGGTGAGTCAGAAGGGGAGATAAGTTTCATAATTCAACAGAAACTATCATAACTCCACAATAGGAGGCTCTACTGTAGAACAGGCAGAAAAATAGGCACAAAAGGAGCTGCAAATCTACAGCTTATGAGAGTGGTAAAGAGAGGAGAGCAGTTATCTCCACTGCAGTGACCAGCCAGATTTTCATGGAAGTGGAGGGCATCGTTGATCCTCGGCCCCAGAAGATGGGTTAAATAGATATGTTCAGACATTCTGGGAAACCCTGGGAGCTGGGGAGCTTTAGTTAATG